ATTGAAAACATTGTAAAATAGTAGTAAAATCAATAGATATCAAAATCTCTGTGTGTGTGCATGGCTGCACGTGTGTGTGGGACCTCAGATTAGCTTAACGCATTATCTTGAATCAATTAAAACCCCCCAGCAAAAGCACCTGGCAGGTTACTCCGTAACAGCCAGGTCTTATTTACAGCATCTCCCTGGTCTTGTTCCCCGGTGTTGGATTCACCCCCCCCACTGGCTCAGTATCTCTGGCCTCCATGGCTTCAGATACCGCTCACGCTGCCAGCATATTGAACCCGGTGAGCGTGCGCACGCCTCGGTACAACACCGTAACACACACACACGGTTAAACAGCAGCTCCCTGTCGGAGGCATGCAGACTCATCCTCACACACGGGATTACATAACAGGTGAAATCTCCTGGGCCGGCTAATGCAGATTCAAGATCCAGAGCAGGGACGGTGGGGGGTGGAGGGGGTGGGGGGGGGACGTGTAAAGGATCAGCCGTCTGCTTCTTTGGGGTTGGCGTTTCACTAAAGAGGCACCACAGAAAATAAAGTGACCATCAGATGTCACGGGCAGAAAGCGGCGCCCGAGCGTCCGCCCACCGCCACAGAGCTCTGAACTCGTTAATTAACGGGAGGAAGGAGCGCCAGCTTTCGTGGCTTCTCCGGGCCGTCTGGCGCTCCCGTGTGAAAATAGACGCGTTAATCTGCTGACAGTCTTTTCCGAGGCCGCTCGGCCCGTGGTGGCAACCCTGAGCTGATCTTAACGGTTGTTTTGTCCACTTTGGATTCTTCACGCCACGAAATATGACGGCTTTCAGGAGTGGAACTTTCCGGAGGGGTGTCTCCTTCCAAGCAGATGAGGGGCAAACATACCAGAGATGCCTCCACACATCGCATTCTCCTTTTCTAACACTCCCTTTTGTGTGTTTAGAATCTGTGAAGGGACGCTTGATTTATGAATCTGTGACTCCTCTGGCTCCAGTTTCTCTGTGATTTTTAGTTTCGGTGATGACGTTACTGCTTACTCCAGCTTTCCAGCAAACGGCAAACAGCTGATTCTGTTACTCTTCCGTGCTGATCCCTTCCAAAAGGGCTCTGACGCTGTAGTTTTCTCGTTTCTGCTGCCTCTCGCCGCAGCCCCCCTAAGTCCCCAGCTTTCACGAGGCCAAACCAGAGGGGCTGATTCATGCCGTTGCTTTCATGTTTCCTTCTTGTACTAATTTTCTGCCGTTTTTTTATTTAGATTTTTTTATTTTCCGTGTTGCCCAAGACCCATTTTCTTTATTAGACTTGGATCTTATAGCTGATAATGGCAAGTGATGTAGTCTCATTCTCTAACCTACACAAAAGAAAAATAAATACAAACAATGATAGTGACAGAAGGGTTGACTGGACTCCTATCCGGTGAACAGATGCTCAAGTAACCAAATGAGTGATTTTGATGGAGCTCTCTTTCTTGCTCTACAGAGCTCTGACAGTACATCCGTTTCAATTTAGAACTGCAGCTCCTTCGTGTCATCTTCATGTAAGATCGCACTCCCTCTGGAATAGTGCAGCGTCAGCATGTTTTTAATGTTTAATGCGGGTCTGAATGGCAGAGCTTTGGTGGCTCCGGAGCCCCAGGGGCATGAAGGCACCTGCCGGGCCTGTCCGACACTCTGTTTTCCCACGTTAAGAAACGCAGCAGGGCTATTGCACTCCCGGGCCAAACCTTCACGCCCGTGCGGTATTTGTCACCTGCTGACGCAACACAGATCTCAGAAACTAGTTTTGAGAGGCGCGTCGCCACTTCTGACAGAAGTTCCTGATAACACTTTCGTCTCTTAATGCCGTCTGTGTTTCCACCTCTTTTGGTCCAAAGCAACTCACAAGAACACAAGAAAATAAAGGACAGAGCGATTTACAGTGACCAGTACTAGTATCAGTCTGCCAGGGAGGGAGGGCAGATCCTCGGGGGGGCTGAATGCAGGGAAAATGAAAAAAGGGGGGGTGGGTTGACAGGAGAGTGACAGATAAGTACTGTTGGTGATTGGCTTGTTGTGAGTGGAGGAACTCTGGAAAAGCAATTTTTCAGAAGAATTTCTTAAAGGAACTTGATGTTTGATATTAATATTTGATAGAACAATATAAAGCTGTTTTTTTATATTCAATATCAAACAAGCCAGCCGGCAAACACTGAGTTTAGCTCCTTCTTGTTCTCGTGACTTCTGAAAATCGTTTTTTACGATGTTCATTTGTGAACCTGCTCAGAGGGTGTGAATGAGCTTTGGAAAATGCGTGGACCGTTTTTCTTTTATTAAGTTCCCATTGCAAATTCTGCCAATAGGAATTTACGACGCCGTCTTTTATCGCTGGCTTTTATCATGGCTTCTTCTCCCTTTTATCTGGAAAATGAATGACAGGCGAGGCGTGACGGTGAGAGGGCGCACAGGTGTTGGCTCAAACCACCAAATAACCTGCTGCCAAAATCCCACCTTACGGGTGGCGAAAAGGCAAACATTTGAAGCCCTGAAAAGACCCTCGGGGCTCGGTCGTCAACGCGGCGTCACAGGAAACAAAGGCCGCACCTGCGGCCGCTGCTCCCTGCCTCCCGGTCCTTTAAACGCCGGCCCCGGGTGCGGTTCCGTGTCAGAAGAGTCTGCCGGTGATGCGGCGACGCCTTTATCCCGCCGGGCGCCGTTGGCACCCGCCTCCTTCCTCTTATTCACCGTCTCAAACGGCATTAGCAGAGCTTAATCCCTGGCTTACTCGCACTTCTTTTTGACGTCGCCAGTGAATAAACCAGGCCAGAGAGAACACCGCCGGGCCCGTTGGGGTAATAACTTTTCGACAAGGCCCTGAACGCACCGTCAGGCCCCGAACGCACCGACCTGAACAGCAAGAACGAGCAGAGACTCCCTGGTTTGTGTTCTAATTGGACGACGTCAACAATCTATACATGCGCCATAAGAACTATCCACCCCCCCACACCACCACCTCCACCAAACACACCCTACCAAACCATGAATGAATACAGAGGTAAAAACGCCTTTGGATCTCCTCGGTTGTCCCCAGCGTGGGTGCAGATGGCAGAGAGCAGACCTCCTCCTGCTCTAAGCGGCTTGGAGCTGCAGCTGGATTTGGTTTTCGGTGTTTCCTGTAGCGCGTTGGGCAGTGTGCATGTGCAGCTCCATCCGCCGGAGCCCCGGGCCTGGAGCCGGAGTCCCGGCCCAGAGTCCCGGCCCAGAGTCCCGGCCCAGAGTCCCGGCCCAGAGTCCGGAGCCGGCGTTATGGAGCAGGATTAGTGGCTTATTGAGGTGAAGTCAGGCTCATCTTGGATTGTCGGTCTCACAAAGCTGGTTCACCTCTTCCTCAGGTGTGTCGCCATGGTAACTTACGCTGGGAACCTAACATGCCCCCTGCCACCAGATTACGTTTTTTGCATAATCTCTGTGAACCACGTCACCAAAGAGACCAAAGTTATACAAGTTTAGCAGATGCATCTTATTCGTGTGCAGAGTTTAAAGCCATTTTAGATCCTGGATGATGGACAGTAAGTGACCGTTTGGCCAGTGTCGCACCACAGCCACAGCATGCCTGGAACTTTCCGCTCCAGCTTGAGTGACTTTTCAGTGATATTGATGGGATCATTGATTCACGCGTTCACACTCTGGGTGTTGTTTTTCTTTATTTCTCGGCCGGTCGCATGAGCATTCACAGCTTTCCCCCCTGAAACTCCCTACTGAAGTCACTTTGGAGAAATGTGATTTCAGATTAGATTCTGAGAGGATCACATCCCTTCTGACAATGTATTTATTAAGGAAGTTTATTAGGTTGTTACAACTTTAAGTGTTGGTTTTGAATTAGAGGTTGTTAAGACTTGCTGTAAGGTGTTCAAAAAGGATGCTCCATGCTTTACCTGAACAGAATCTCTCGTACTTACCAAATACCCTGACCTCTGACCTTTGGCAGTTGGAGGGCAGAAGCCTGAGGAGGACGGCCAAAATAGTTCTCCTCAGCCACACTTCAGCATGTAGGCCAGTGCATTGTGCAAAAAAAAAAGAGAGATAAAGAAGCTGAAGGTGAAACGGGAACTTTAAAACACCAACTTCTAGTTGATACGGTGCTGACTCTGCTAAATAGAACCAGACATTCACTGGAATTTCTGTGTAAGTTTCGTCTCTTTTGGAAATGTTTGGCAGCAGTTTGAAGAGCTGGCTATATCATTACAGAATAAAAAGGGTTATTTATCTATTATAGCATTAAACAATAAAGCATTTCATTGACTTTGTTATTTTTAAAGAGAAACATGAAGTCCACATTCCAGATTGTTTTTCCTTTTAATCTTCAATCATTGCTACATTATTCCCAAATGATGAATCGGTGTATGGATCCAAGAATTCTGCAACTCTGATCCCTTTGCTTTTTTTCCCCCCACTATTCTTTAAGGACTTTTTTTTGCTGTTCTCGTTCCAGTCCGACAGATCAGTCTTTTCTTTTTTTGGACTCTGCTGTGGTGTTTTTGTGCAGTGTGTGATTATCTCTGCTGGCTTTGCTCAGCGCACCACCTGTGCTGGTAGTTGTGCTCAGGGCAGGAAAAAGCCTCTCTTTGGATGAATTGCATCCAGGTGTTCTTTTTTTTTTGGCACGTCCCGCACTCCTTTGGACCGCGACCGCCCTCAAAACGCTCATCTAAAAGCCCAACCTATGTCTTATTAGATCACCCCATCACTTAGGAGCATGCTAACTTACAGGTTAGCATAACGGCAAAAGCGACACACAAAAAAATACACTAAAGGCTTCGAAGTCACATTAAAGTGTTCATTTATCACATTTTTGTGTTGGTGGCAATATTCCACTCAAACTGCGGGACAGAACAGCTCAGTGGAGCTGTGATTTATTTCTGTTTTCATCTCTGTGTGCCGCCCTAGCTAATGAGGACCAAACACAGTCCTCGCATTTGTCAGTATGGATGTGGCCACAAACGCTCAATTAACTGTGTTTTTTTTTATGTGTGTGTTCACAGGAAGAAGTCCTTTCTGTTCTCGGCGCTGTACGCCGCCTGCATCCTGGGCGGCCGCCATGTCATGAAGCAGAGGGAGAAGTTTGAGCTGAGGAAGCCGCTGGTGCTGTGGTCGCTCACGCTCGCTGCGTTCAGGTACGAGGGGCTAGCAAACAGATCCAGATGTGACGCTGATCATTTGATACAGAAAGGCTAACCGATTAAAACAAGAATACGTTTCAGCTTTCTACCCCATCTTAAAAACATGCCTGTTGTTTTAAATTCACCTTTGATGGTTTCCTGCTGACTCGGGGGTTAATATTTCCGGTTGCATTTCCTGCTGCTGTGATATCAGATCGAGTTCCACTGTGGGGCTTTGAAATAAAGATCCACTCTGTACCATAGAGGCCAAAAAAGAGCTTTACATTAGAACATATTAGACATTTTTCCAGGAGTACCTGCACACTGTTCACCGTACCTGTATTTCCTCTCTTTGCAGTATATTTGGTGCCATCCGTACCGGGAGCTACATGACTTACATCCTGATGACCAAAGGGCTTAAACAGTCAGTTTGTGACCAGAGCTTCTACAACGGGCCAGTCAGCAAGTTCTGGGCATACGCCTTCGTTCTTAGTAAAGCACCTGAACTGGGTAAGTCAACACCTGCTGGTAGCATTCCGAATGTTCTCTGAATAATGGATGTTATAAAAGGTTTGGGCAAAAGCTCTGCTTCTCCGAACAGCGGTACAGGTAAAAGAATACATCGTCTGCAAAATGCATGAAGTAAACAAAAAACCCCAGAAAAAGTCTTAATAAGAAAAGTCAGACTTCATTTTTCTAATAAAACAAATAAGTGGCTGAATGCATTTTTTTTAATAAAAAAGAAAGCATTCGTATAGACATTTAAATCATCCCTTCTCAGTATCTCAACTTGGGAATATGTTTGTTGTTCAAAACAAGCTTATTTAAACCACTTTTCCGTGATGATGTGCAGGATCTCACCGTGCCCCTCAGAGATCTGTGCATTGAGATTGAATATTTCGGTTTATTTCCATAATTGGCAATATACTGGAAGTCAATTTCTCCCTGGAGATCAATAAAGTATATTCAATTCAATTCAATTCAATTCAATCAATTCAATTCAATAGGTGGTGGAAATGTGCAATCATTGAAGCTTTAGCTGCAACTTGTGTGTTATATATTTATTTTTTCTTGGCAAGCTGAGGATGCTTTTAAACTCCACGTGTCCCTTTGCATTTTGTACATTTTCTGCATACTTGAAAGCGAGAACACGGCTTGTAGCCTGACGAACCTTGACCTTTCCCCCCCCCCTCTTGTTCTCTTTTTCTCTCGCCCGAACCGGTTTCTGCCCGCAGGCGACACCCTCTTCATCGTCCTGAGGAAACAGAAGCTCATCTTCCTCCACTGGTACCACCACATCACCGTGCTGCTCTACTCCTGGTACTCCTACAAAGACATGGTGGCCGGGGGCGGCTGGTTCATGACCATGAACTACTTGGTGCACGCCGTCATGTACTCTTACTACGCCCTGCGGGCGGCCGGCTTCAAGGTGTCCCGCAAGTTCGCCATGTTCATCACGCTGACCCAGATCACCCAGATGCTGATGGGCTGCGTGGTCAACTACCTGGTGTACTCGTGGATGCAGCAGGGCCAGGAGTGCCCCTCCCACATGCAGAACATTGTGTGGTCCTCCCTCATGTACCTCAGCTACTTCGTGCTCTTCGTGCAGTTCTTCTACGAGGCCTACGTGGGCAAGTCCAGGTCAGCCGCCGTGACTCTCAGCAAGAAAAGCGAGTAGGAGAACGCCAAAAAGGACGGGGAGGAAGGAGGTGATTTAGGGAGGAGGTGAGAATAAGAGCGGGGACCAATAAGTAGAAAGATGAATGGGGTGAAGGAGGACAGGACACTGGGGGGACTGCGGGGGTGGGGGGGTCATGAATTGGTCGGTGTTGTGTGTGCTTGAGCGTTACTAATAATGTGCAGATCTAAAAAAAAAAAAAAAACCAAAAAAAAAAAATCTTAATCGAGGGGAATTTATCTCTTGAGCGACGCCGCCGCGATCAAAAGCCATCACACGTCGTCCGGTGTAAAACTTCCCCCTTTTTTCTGAATTTACATCAACTACTTTTTAAAGAAAAATACAATGTGACGAAATGATGAACTGTCCGATTAAAAACGATGGCATCCGCTACAAGCAACTATTTATTATCGACATAAAAAAAAATGAAGGTGCGCCCGAGGACGGACGGCGTGGGCCTTAAGGTCAGCCGTCTGAGTTTTTTTTGTCTCTGTTGTAATTGTTTTGTCGTCGGGGTGGGATCTGGATCAGTTGGACACCGGTGAGCGAATGAAGCTGAAGTGTTGGCGGTTGACGTGAACTGGTGAGGCGAGCCGCACTGTGTCTGTCGTCTGTGTCTTACATTGCGAAATGTTATCATTTTTTTCTCAGGTCTTAGGCTGTTTCTTTCTAAATATAATATGCATATCAAAAGCGATTAGACATGTTTAACATCCCGTTTACAGTATGTCTGATAATAAAAACGTTAAAAAAAAAAAAAAAAAAAAAGAAGTATGATTGACGGCTGGAGCTGATTGGACAGACACACTCTGATGAAAACTTTCGGCCACGATTGGAGACAGAAGCTGACAGAAGCCCGGCGTCTTGACCTCGCAGAAATCGCCGACCTCGGGGGAAATCGCCCGCCACTGACTTCCAAACACTTCTGTGTCTTAAGGTCCCCACCAGCGAGGAGAACCAGTATGAAGGACACTGATAGGCTAAAACGAGGTGCAGACTTTCATGTTTCGCAAAAAGAAAAAGGAAAAAAAAAAGAAAACATGCAAATTGTCCAAATCTGCTGTGCTTAAAAAAACAAACAAAAAAAAACTAGTATGCATCCTTAATGGTGTCTATTGTGCTATTGTGCATTTGCACTGTTTCAGTGTCAGAAAACAACAATGTATGAACAAAAGTGTGCAAAAAAAACCCAAAAAAAAGACCTGTGGTGTTCACTTTTTTTTTGTCTGTGCCCTCCTGGTGTTGCATATACATACATAATCAGTTTCTCGGTGCTGAAACTTAAAAAGAACAAAAAAAAAGTGAAAAAAATTCAAAAAGCAAGCAGTCTTTTCTGTTTTTTGTTATAATATTTAGAGAGGCTAAATGGGATTAGCACTTGTAGGTAGCCGGCACACTGTATCTCCTCACATGAGCTTGTATGCATGCAGACCTCGATTCAGTGTAGCAGCAACATGTTTTACACCTGATCTACGCGGCTGCTATTTCTCTTTTAGCACCACCTGAATAACTCAAATCATTGTGCAAACATGTTTGAATAAATGGAAACTGATACAGTGGTCCAGCGGCGTGCGTGACTCATGGAAACGGAAAGATTTGGAGTTTAGGAAGGAGCAACACAGCATCACAACTGGAATCAAATCTGTGTACACTTCAACTGTACAGGCCTCCCCCTAGTGGTGCTTTGTCTAATAAAGCTTTACTATTGAGACTACATTTGTGTTAAACTGTTAAATGGAAAGATTATCGCGCAAACCTTTTTTTTCCCACCTATTATGATTATCCCGCAAATATTCAAATAAGTAATTCCAGCAGCAAAATTCTGCCAACAAACACCATTAATAATGTCATATTCTATATGGTTGTTTTAAAGGGTTGTCTTTTCACAGGCCGTGTAGTTTTGATCATTTTCCATGTTACATTGTGTCTCTAACTTTTTAAAACGCAGTGCAAAGAAAAGAAAGACTTCACAAACCAAAACAACTTGAAAATCCAAAGCAAGTCAAATATACAGTATAGGGCACCATGGTTTTTTAGATAACTGTACCTGGAGTCTGCTAGAACCACTCAAACTGGGTAAGCTTTTACTCAGTTAAGTGGTTAAATCATTAAGAGGTGCATATTTCAGAAGTCATACATAGACCAGATCATTTCACTCCTCAATTGAACCCCCCGCGAAAAAAGAGGTCCTTTTCATAAGCCAAAAAATTACGTTGTTTATTGCTTAACGGTGTGTAGAGAGAGATGCCTGATATGTGGCAAATATGCCAGACAAAATGATAAATCTATCAACATCTGCCATCATGATCAATTTAGAAGGATTCATGGCAGGAGGAGGCTCTAGGTTTTATTTTTTTCCAGTTTTTATCATCACATTTGTCATTGAGAGCCTTACTGAGATCCAGCCCATGTTCCAAAGGTAAAAAGGTAACTCCACCCAACAGAAGTAGCTCCATTTACTCTGGTTATGTACAATATACTGCCAAGAGGTTGTTTCCTAACCCCAAAAGATTCTTCATTTGATCCAAATAAAGTAAAATCAGTCCACGTAAATTCAGTCCTGCAGAGTTGACCTCAGTGGAGGTTTGTATAAAGTATGTATCCAATAGCTGCTTATCAAGCATCTGTAATAACATTGATGTAATTAACCAGTTTCCCATGTATTGTTTAGTTTTGATACACATTGACGTTTTGTATTATACTGGGTAAAATGCACCCAGTGTTGGTCATGGTATTTAAAAAAAAAAAAAGTAAGCTGCTATTGCTGGTAAAACTTTTGTAGTTACAGTTATACTGCCATCTGGTGGAAGATCCCGCCTCTAAGCGTGCAACAGGGATTTCTCTTAAAATCCTCAAAATGCAGGAAAATGTGAATGAAAAATTAACTCTTGGCTTCTCTTTGTTCGCATTGGATTGAAATATGTCTGGTGAAATGCAGTTGCAAAAACTGTGATCCTCATTCCATATGCATGGCTTTGCTTTGTATCACCCCGGAAGCAGGCCTTTATTTGCATTCAGTATTAGTATTAGTATTAGTATTGTTCACTAGTATAATGCATTCAGTTGTACCTGGTGATTGATATATGTAATAATTACAAACATTACAAAGCATTAGACCTGACATAAAAATATGAGAAGCCTTCTCTAGAATACCATTTGTCTTACGGGGCATTTTGATATGAAAATATAAAGAGCTGTGTGTTTAAGTTGCATTATTCTAAACATTAGGTGATGTAAATAAAGTCGGCTCTGGCTGCCTGGGAATGCAGATTTACGCCTCCGAAGCTTTGCACCCAAATGCAATCGACTCCCCCTCAGGAGGTGAAACTGTTCTCCAGCTTTGGGACTCTCTCCCGTGTCCCCAAAGGTTCGGGCTCATTGGTCCATTGTGTCCATGCATTAGTCCCACCGCCGCCTTTCATTTTGAAATCCGACCAAATCCCGAGAAACAAGTGTTACTCCGTCTTGCTCAAGAGCTGGAGGGACCAAACCTGACCTGAAAGGATCACAGCAAAGCCTTTGAGTGGGTTGCTAATTCCCTCTTTAGACCTCATCAGCTGTCCTCTGGGCTGGACCGCAGACATGAGCACCGGGACAATACCAGAAATATCTGGACCAAACAGAAAATAACGAAGAGTTGAAACCAACAAAAGTGCTGCTGTTCTCACTTCTTTATTATTCTTTATTCAACTTGAATGTGAATTCAGTTATATTGATATGTAATGTTTATACATGATGTGTAACCTCTAACCTGTGACTTTATATTATTCAACACCTACAGACAAACCTGAAACTTGCAATCGACCTGAAATAGAGACTTAAAAGATTAACGTTGAGTGACAGATGGAGTGGCTTCACAATGACTGTCTTCGGGTTTTTCATTTTTTCTGTCATCTTTAATTACAAGCCTGTGAAAACTAACCCAGTCTAATTAATAAACTGTGTTAGTTTAACCCTTTAAAGCCTGATCCAAGAAAAATAGGAAGAATGTTGGATTTTTTAAGTCTGAAGTCTTTCTTTGGCCCCTCAACAACATATGAAGAAAAAAAAACAGGAATTATTTTGATCAAATTAGCGTGCAATAAGTCAAAAATATATTTCCGTGTAGTCTTCTACTGGCCGTTATCAGGTATATCTGAATGTGTACAACAGGGGTTTGAGCAAAGCTTTTACCACTGAATGATGCAAAAAGTCTCAGATCCAAAAGACTTCAGAAACCGTATGTATCAAATATGATACATATGGCATTATAGGGTTAAGCACCGATAAAAATAGTCTAAAGTATACAAAAGCTAAACCACTTTGAGACCCTCGGTACTTATGGTCTCAGTGGCCCTGTTGGCCCCTGTTGTTTATTACCAGATGAATTCACACTAAGTTAAATTTGATCTATATGTGAGTGCAGATCTGCTTCTGTTATAGATGCCCTAACCTAACCCATCTGTTAACCCTTATAGAGCCAAATACATTAGAGCGAGTTCCAAAAAAAAAAGAGAAATCAATATTGATGCAGCCTCTGATGGTTTTGGAGCTAAAGCGCTCTGTTTGCTGCCACTGCCTCGAAACAATAGGGCTGTGGGATCCCTCCATTAAGTACTCCCAAATTAACCCTGAGTGAGAGTTAAGGCCTGAGATAGAAGGGGAAATAGAAACAGAAATAGATGGCGAAAGGTGGCGGGACTGGTGCTGACATCAGTGGAGCGTTAGATTTGGTGGAGAAGAGAAACGCATCATCGATGGAGCAAAAGAAGGGCCTAAAAGAAAAGTGGACCGGTGCATCACGACTGAGACAGAATTGGATAGACCAAAATAATCCAACGGCTGCATAAAAATGAGATGATTAAAGAAAATAATTTAGCAAAATTACAAGATAAAAAATGACAAAAAAACAACATTTAGGCATCACCAATGCCTAAAATATATTTGATTATCTCCAAAAAAATGGTGGATTATGAATAACATTATGTGCATGTTGTATTTCGGAGCTATTGATTTATTGCTGAAAATAATGGCAAACTTAATCACTGTCAAATTCTAGTTCATATGTGATGAAAACTACACATAGTACAATTTTATAAAAAAGGCAGGATTGTTAAGGGATTTGCATTCACATATATTTACATATTTTGTTATATAAAAGCTTTAACTGAAAAACAAAAGCATGATATTTTCCCTTCTAGTCTATTGTCAACTAATCAATATCCTATTACACATTTTCTTCATCTTTTGAGGGATCTCCCAATAAAAATGAAGTTGCTCTCACAATACTGCTTAGGTTTAAACTGACAATACACTATAATGGGACGTGTTATGCTCATTAAATCCCACCACTGGTACTTTTTCTCTGTACTGTTCACACATTGCTTTGTCAGTTCAAAAGACTCAGTTTGAGTAACGACTAAATGTTGCTTTTAAGACTTTGTCATTTGAAATTCTTTCAATTTGAACCTGACAGAGCTTTTCTAATAAGGTCACAATATAGTTCACAGAGAAGAAATCACGGCCAATTGTAAAACTGATTAAAGAAAAGTCCTCGTACGTCTGGTACATTTGTGAAAAGCCACATCCTTTATTTAATCAAAGATCGTTTCACCTAATACATAAAGGACAAGGTGTGAAATTCTTTTAGTAGCTTATTTCTTTCATACAGACACAAGATGGAATTTGATCATATCAAGGTCAAGTTTATACTTTTATTCTTTTTGAAATGGTTGTCTGTCATATTTTTTTTAAAAAGAAACTGGGAAGGATCCAGAAAAAAATAGTTGTGTAGCTAAGATTTTACCAAAAAATATATACTGTGACTAAAACATGCAACACGACAAAAAACACCTAACAAAGAGAAATGTAAATACAGATCCTGGTGAAAATTACACTTTAACTTATTTTTGGCTTATCAAATAAGTATACGGTGAGAATAAATTTGTAGTCGTCTGCTTTAGCTCTGTGCAGCATTTCTGAACATTAAAGCTTTCAGAATAATAGATCATTTGGATATGGAAGTTGGTAGGAAACGTATTCTACCCTGCCAATTCTTAATTACAAGTCATGTTACAGGACATTAGTTCTTATCAGCGTAAATTCGATAAATTAGCAGGAATGGTCATGAGGAATTTATATGTTTACCTTTTTTTCTGTTAACAACTGCATGGTTTGCCTTTTCTCTGTCAAAGATACGACCAAGACTCGATAAACCACACAGAAGATCCAGAACTGTGTCTGTGTACAATTACTGACCCCATACAGAAAATATGAAGTCGTTTTTCATGGGAATAAGTTTTTCCCATGTTCGATTAAAGAAAACTTCTTTAATCGGCTCATTCTAAGGATGAAGCTGATCTTTGTTTTGGTGTGTTGCAGCTAACGTTTAGCTTTTTGGGAGAGCAGTGGTTCTTACTGTAGGCCCGTTTCACAAACTTCCATCTTAAATATGCTGTATCGAATTAAAAAAGAAAAACAAAGCAACACCTTTTTTGAGTCTTTGTTCTTTACAAATATCAGAGTTAACAAAAGCTTGATGCTGATGGTCACAGCTCTGTTCGACTGTGTGAGTCTGTCCATTAAGCTATGAAAGACACGACTCTGGATCGGAAGACTGGGATGGCGATGGTGACTTTAAAACCTGTCATTCCCGGCATTTGAGCTGGACGGTGATGCGTCCGAGTGACGGGCGCCAGACTGGGCGGCTTCCATGGCAACGGCTGAAACCATGGAGCACTCGTAACCACGGTTGTGTTTGGACAGCTCTCCCGACCCCTGAGACAAAGGGATGGCGTCTGACAAAAAGATATATGTTAATTAAGCCCGTGATTTAAAAAAAGGGTCATAAATCCGACTTCGGATATAGTCAGAGTGAATTTAAGTGAAGTGTACCTGTCTCGGAGGAGCAGGATGGACAGACGGCTCTCCTTGGACAGCCCATTGGTGCAACCACCTTTACCGCCACGCCATCTTCTGCCACCGTGTAGAACTGCAGATTCAACCCAGTGATTTGTTAAAGAGGTTGAAGAATTTCCAAAAACATCATTTTCCTATTTCTTCTTTTTTCCTCTTTTAGTCACTTTGGAAAAAAGCATCTGCTAATACATCAACGCAGTAATGCTATTCTGAGTTGGTGAAGTTTTGAGTCAAAATAACACAGAATTTACAGATTATTTATTTATTTATTTATTTATTTATTTATTTATTTATTTATTTATTTATTTATTTATTTATTTATTTATTTTTTATTTTTTTATTTT